AGCAGCCGAGCACGCAGCTGCAAAGCGGCAGAGCCCGGGGCTGGAAAGCGGCAGAGCCCGGGGTTGGAAAGCGGCGGAACCCGGGGCTGGAAAGCGGCAGAGCTCCGAGTTGGAAAGCGGCAGAGCCCGGGGTTGACCCAAGGTGTTTTGTCGTGCAAGCACCAACTCTTAATCACCCCATCCCCACTCTCCATATTTTATAATCCACCAGTTCCAGTTACTGAAATTCTCCCAAATTTCCCCAATGAATTTGAGTTCCTGGTCAGTGCAAGATGAAAAAAAGAGAGAGACGGAGAGAGAGAGAAAGGACCTCTATTTTGTAAAGTTCCCTTCTGAGGATGAAGATGACTTGCTTTGGGGAACCAGCAGTTAGGGTAATGGCTATGTCTCTGGACTCCCACGTGGTCGACCGCGGTTCGCGTCCAGGACCCAGTGGCTTAAAACTCATGCCGGGCGCGTGTGCGTGCGTGCCCAAGATCCTGAGAGGAGAATGGAGGAGAAGGGATTGCGGCGTGACCATCCCCCCTGGGGGGTGATTTCTCGCTTTCTGTCTCTAATGTCTCTCTCTGTCTGTCTGGCGAGCGCACGCGCCCTATAGCGAAAACCTCTCCAAAAAAAAAGATGACTAAAGATGACTTGCTTTGTATTTTTTATTTTCTTTACTTAGAAAACCAAGCAGACATGATGACGTGCAGGTGTGTGTGCAGGTGTGTGTGCAGGTGTGCGTGCGTGACACACCATTGCACCCCCATGACACACACCCCCATGACACACCACTTTTATTTGGGAAAGCAAATAAAACTCACCGATGAAAGGGCACATGCCACCAGTTCAAGGAAATTGGATCATCGTTTCATATTCTTCTTTTCTTGACGATAATCCAAAAGTCTATTCAAATTCAAGTCCTGCTCATTAGTGTTTGGACAGGGGAGGAAACATTCCTCCCTGCCCAGCCAGTTTCCTTATCTTGAAAATGACCTCGATTTTCTTTTCCCAATCAAGCGCATCTAGAAATCAATTCAGCTGTCCCTGCTCCGCCCGCCAGCAAGCATGGCTTTCTTGTTGTTGACCTTTTGCAAATAGGGTGCCTTTGCTGTGACCAGGACAACAAAGGTTTCTTGCATCATTATTAACATACATCAGCCTTCTGACGTTAGTTTCTGTCAGCGTCTGCACCACAGTATGCACGGTACAGTAGGTTAGCTGCTTTTTCTCAGGACAGGCCTGTGTGTTCTGTGTTTAAATTGCCTTTTCAGGGCAGTAAAATGCGCAACATAAACTTTACCATCGTAACCATGTTCATGTTCAAGCTGCATTTCGACGTCCTGCAACCAGCCCACCTCCCTTCCAGAGCCCCTCTCTTGCAAAACTGAAACTTTGTAGCCATCAAATACTAAGTCCCTGTTCCCCTTCCTGCCCCCAGCCCTTGGCAACCCCATTCCACCTTCCGTCTCTAAGGGTTCCACTCTAGGAACCTCGTAAGCGGAATCATAGAGAATTTCTCTTTCCATGACTGGCTTATTTCTCTTCATTTATGTCCTCAGGTTCATTCACATTGTCACATGTATCATAACGTCCTTTCTTTTCTAAAAGAATTTTTTTTATTATTATTTTTAACTTGCTATAGGGCAGGTGTGCTCACCAGAGAGAGGGAGAGAACATGAGAAAGCAAACCGCCAGGTCCAGGACTTGAACCGCGGTTGGCCATGTGGGAGTCCAGCCCCTTAACCGCCATGCCGCCTGCTGGCCCCTTCCTTTCTTTCGAAGAGCGTAGACTATTCCACTGACTTGATAGCCACGTCTGCTCCTCCACTGCCCGCTGACGTACACCTGAGTGCGTCCAGCCTGGGCCCCCCCCCCGCCGCGGAGCCGCTCCCCGAGACCGCTGTCCCCTCTGACAGGGGCCGGAGGCGGACTTACTGCTCGTGTCCTAACTAGCTCTGATCTTCCGCGGACCTGCCGCTGTTTGCCGGGGCAGCTGCACCACTTTACATTCCCAAGGCTTGTTTGTTTTAGAGAAGAAACGAGACTCTGCCTTTCTGGGATTCCCTGCCGCAATGCCACCGGTGGAAATGCAGCCCGGGGCTGTCCTTGTGCTGTCACATAGGCCAGCGGCATCTAGTTGCAGGGAACTGGACTTTGCATTCCCCTTCTCCCTCCGCCCCTGCCCGGGCTCCCAGCTGGACCATAGGTGGCCAACACCATACCTGACCCTTTTTATTTAGACGGTGTCTCGCTGTGTGGCCAGGCCAGCCCCAAGTTTGCCATCCTCCTGCCTCGGCCTCCCTGGTCACTGGAATGTGGCCGATGCCCTGCACCCCGCCATTAGGCTGGACTGAAAATGGACCCGGCCTCCCAGGCAATCCGAGCCTGCAGAGCCCATGGCATGCCCCGCAGCAGGGCCCTGCCCACTCTTCCAAGAAGTCCCTTCTCCTTGTTCTCAGAGGAGCCCGTTTTCCAGGTCCCTCGCAAAGGGACTGGTTTCTAGAGTGGGACCTGAGACTTGGCTCCTCCGGCCTCGCTGGGCTCATCGTGAGCTGTGCTTGGCCCTCCCCCTCAGGTGGACTTGAACAACGGGCTGTCGGAGTTCTCGGTGACACAGCGCAGGCTGGTCCACGGCTGGAACGAGTTTGTCGCTGACCGCACTGAACCAGTGTGGAAGAAATACCTGGACCAGGTAGGACTGCAGTGCCATTTTGTGCACCTACAGGGGTAGGCGAGGGAGGGCAGGGCGGTCACTCTTTCTCTAAATATTGATTGAGGCTGTCCTCGGCCAGGCCCGCCAGGGCGTGGGCAGGGGTGCTGCAGAAAGGACAGCTCAAGGCGCGGGTCAGCTCAAGGGGACCAGGACACACTAACTCAGTGCCTGGCCGGGTCGACAGCTGGCCCGCGCCCCACACCCTCTGCTCCTCCCCTCTAGCCTATAGGATGGCCAAGTGAGGAAGTCAAAGGCACTCTGCAGGGTGCGCAGGGTCCCGGTTAGCACATCAAAGTGCAGAATCACATCAGATTTCGTTCCAGATAAACGGGAGTCTTGTTTATTTATTCGTTTGTTTATTTAGGTTTGCTATAGAGCATGTGTGCTCACTGGGGAGAGAAAGAGAGCGAAATTATCCCCAGGGGTTGGCCATGCCACAGTCCCTTCTCCTCTTGGAATTTTGGACACATACACGCACGCATGCACATACACACGCACGTGCGTGCGCACAAGCCCAGCATGTTTTTCAAGCCACCAAGTCCAGAACTCCAGCTGCAGTTGGCCATGTAGGGTCCAGCTACCTTGTCCCTCCATGCCACCTGCTGGACCCCAGGAGTCAGTTTTTTTCTTTTGGGTTCTTGCCATAGGGTGTGTGTGCAGAGACAGGGATAGAAAGTGAGAAATCATCCCCAGAGGGGAGAGCTATGCCATAATAATCCCTTCTCCTCCAGTCGCCTCTTGGGATTTGGGGGCACACATGCACATGTGCCCAGCATGATTTTTTGAGCTGCCGGGTCTGGGACTCGAACAGCTGTCAGCTGTGTGGGAATCCAGCCCCTTACCACTATGCCACCTGCTGGCCCAGGAGTCCATTTTTAAATATAAGCATGTCCCAAATATTGCAGTGGATGCATTTTTATGGGGGGGGGGAGAAAAGTTTCTTGTTTATTTGAAATTCAAATTTAACTGAGCACCCTGAGCCCCTGGCCTCCGGGCTGCAGCCGTGGTGGCTGGCGCAGTGTTGACGAGGGCACGCAGGGGAGGTGGCGGAAGCCATTAGCAAGAGGAAGGACCCGTGGGAGCTGCCGGGGCTGCAGTTCCCGCAGGGAAGCTGGCTCCACCACCCACCAAGGACCTGCTCAGAAAGGCCCAGTGCACAGGCAGAATTTGCCAGAGCCTCCGTTCCAGCTCTTCCTCCTTGGACTTGTGCACTCCGAACCCCGGGCTGCCCTAGGCCTCAGCACCTTCCTGCTGGTTCTATTTAAACCTTTCGTGATTGGTCAGTTCACTGTCCTTCTGGCAGTGTCCCCCCATCTCTTTTCCATGGGGCCCCACCTGCTCACCGCTTGGCTCTCCTGCCCTGCACGTGTCACACGTGGCCACATTGTGGCACCAAATTAGGCCTCTGAGTGTGCAGCAGCTCCGGCCAGCTGACATTCCTGGAGCCCAGCGTTGGGCAGAGGCAGCAAAGGCCCCTGGGACTTGGACTTCAGGGAAGGAGGCTGAGGGGGATGCTCTGCCCTCTGACACCAAGGGGTCCACTCTGTCCTGGCTGCCCGCCACCAGGCCCCTGTTCTCTGACGCCCTGGCTGTCTTCCTTCCCCTCTCACCCTGTCGAGACCTGCTCTGAGCATCCCCCTTCTCACCAGGCGTCCTCCTCCACCCTCCAGCCGGGGCCGTCCCCAACATGCAGTCTCTTCAATTTCCTGAGCGCGGCGAGCACACAGCTCCCAGTGGGGACAGCCCCTAGTAAGGACAGCTCCCGGTGGGGACAGCTCCTGATAGGAAGGGCTCCGGTGGGGAACAGCTCCCTGCGGGAAGGGCTCCAGCAGGAGAGCTCCGGTGGCCGGGCTTCCCTGCCCACGCCAGGTCTACACTCACTGACCCCCCCCCCCTGAGCCTCCGCTGTGTGTGGGCTGTCCCCATCCTCCTGTCTCCTCCGGGCACAGGGAACTCACCACCTCCCAAGGCAGCCGGGGTCTCTGTCTCGAGTCACACCTTAGTGCGATCCAAGGCACGTTCCCCAGAATCTCGAGGTGAATGTAGGTGGGGACCGGGGGGACCGGGTTCAAACCTGCCGTCCAGCCGTGCGATTCGACCGAGGCACTGGGCGTCCTGGGCACGCAGTTCTCCCCGCCCAGAACATGGGAAGATGCACACCTACCACAGCAGGTCTGCTCCAGGAAGAAGAGGTTTGTCCGTGTGGGAAGAAGGCAGGCCCAGCCCTTCTCAGCCTGCCTCGGTTCGAGCACCACGGCTGGGAGCACAGGTTTCGGAGTCGGACCGACTTCAATGTGAATTTTTGGGCTGGTCGGTCCTTTTGGGAACCTCAGGTTGCTCGTTCACCAAGCAGGGGTGTTGGACAGCACCCGTGCCATGCGGTCAGCCAGACACAGCAAGGAAACACTCAGCACAGGGTGTGGAGGCAGTAGGTACTTGGTAAACACTGACTTATTCTTGTTTTAAGAGAGGTTTTTGCTATAGAGTGCATGCACTCCCTGGAGAGACAGAGAGACAGAAAGTGAGTAATCACCCCCCGGGGGATGGCTACACTGCAATCCCTTCTTCTCTGTTCTCTTGGGATTTTGGACACGCACCTGGCTAAGTTTTAAGCTGCTGCACATACAGCACTCAAACCATGGTTGACTACGTGGGAATCCACTTAGCAGTGTAACCATTATGCCATCTGCTGGTCCCGGCGCCGGCTTATTCTAAAAACGTCTCCAGCGTATCACAGTCTTCACACGGAAAGGTTTCAACTAACACGTCTCTGCCTGTCTCCCTTTACGCGCAGGGCTCAGGGGGCCCCAGTGAGGCAGGAAGGGTCTGGGATCCAAAGCGACAGAGGCCCATGCTCAAGTGCAGCCTCACCTGTGACTGCCCTGCCCTCTGCTGCCCACTCAGGTTGGACAGAACAGCACAGGTGCTTGGCGCAGTCTGCGGGGCTGGGAAGGGGTGGCAGGCCTGTGGGAGGGAGACTACTGGGTCAGGGGTTAGCCTGGAGAGCTTTCCGGGAGGGTGCGGTCTGTGTGCTGGAGAAGGAGACCTTCTAGCAGTTAACAGAGACAGTTTCACAGGATCAGAGCTAAGGCGAAGTGTCTTTGACTGCTCAGTCTTGAAGAGTCAGAACAGCTGTGGTGGCAGATTCGGGACTGCTGGTGACCTGACCAGAGGGATCCAGAGAGACAAGGACCCCAGCATGTACTCATGGGCTGCTTTTGATGAGCAGCGTGAATCATGCATTCGATCACATTTCTTTTTTTGCCTGGACTGCTGGGAAGCTCAGAACCCACCAGACAATGCTGTTTCAATCAACTATGACTTACTTATTGCTCTTTTCATTCTCTCCCTGATCCTGACCTTGGTGTGTGCTCTCTGGTCCTGTTGTGATGTGCTTGAGTTTGTGCTTACTTGCAATTCTCTGTAACATGCGCTACCAGGAAATGCCTCTGGAAATGAGGGGTAAATACGTAAAACAATGAAGTGGCAATCCTACGGGGAGTTTGGGGGACACAGGGACTCAAGAGAGACGTCACTGGGGTCCCAGAGGCTATTACAGGAGCAGGTTGATGTCTGAGTTTGGGAGATTGGGATGCATGGGATTTGGGGGCTGGTGTGGCAGGAGGGGCCCCTTGGCTGTTGGGCCAGAGCTGGCATCCCCAGAGGTCGTGGCCTGGGACATCGTGGGGACGTGGCGAGGCCAGACCAAGAACTCCAAGGCGGGCCAGCCCCAGAGTCTCAGTAGGGAGGGTGTCAGGATGACCTGAGTGGTCTTCCGTGGTGGGGTTGCCAGCAGGGCAGGTCCCTGGGTGGCGGTCTTGTCCCTGCAGCCCTCGGTCACCACAGTGTTGACCTGGGAGCCTGGCCTTGAAGGTAAACTGAGCCACGTGCCCGTCCACCCTGTGCTCCTCTTCCAGTTCAAGAACCCCCTGATCCTGCTGCTGCTGGGCTCCACCCTGGTGAGCGTCCTCACCGGGCAGTACGAGGACGCCGTCAGCATCGCCGTGGTGAGTGTGGGTGGGAGGCGCGAGGGGCTGAGGCGCGTCCTTGTGCCGGCACCCACTCTCCGCGTCCTGTCTGCCAGCCATCAGCCGCTGCCTTCTTCCTGGCCTGGAAAGTAGATTCCGGGTCTTGCTCGTCCTCTCCCAGGACCGGCTGGCTTCACCCTGGTGTGCGTGTTCAGTGTGAGGGTAGAGCCCCGACCACTGCCCAGGGATAACCACTGGGTGCCTTACATTTTCTCTTTAAATTGAAACTTGACTCTTTCAGGGCCTGTGGCCTAGTAGTTAAGGAAGCCGGATCCCACAGGACCCACTCACTTGGCATCCAGCCCTGGCAGCTCGGCAAACACCCTGGCACGTGTGCGTGTGCCCAGATCCCAACAGGGTGGAGAAATGGAGGGACTTTGGGGCGACCGCACCCACTGCGGGTGCTTTATCCGCCTCTGTCCCTCTCTGGCAAGCACAGGTGCCCTGCAATACAGATTTTCTAACTGACAATTTCACAGTGTAAAATTCTAGCCATGTACGACAGTGTGCCCGCCATCTAGTTCCAAAACATGTTCATCAGCCCAGAAGGTCTCCCTGTGAGGACGCGAGCCCGGGGCGTCGTAGCCTGCTCGCTGCGGAGCGTCTCCACCACCCTCCCTGAGCGCTCTCACCTCCCTGGGTGGAACCTGCCCGTGCCCCTCCCAGCCCCGGCCACAGCAGTCGGCTGTGTGTGGCTTTGCCTGTTCCAGCCGCATCACGGGACCAGAACCCTGTGGTGTGGCCTTTCTACCTGGCTCCTTCGGGACACCGTCCATGCTGCCTTCTCCACTTCTTTCCATTTGTGAGAATTACTTTTTTTTAAAGAGGTTTTTTTTTTTGAGAGGTTTTTGCTATAGGGCACGTGCACTCGACAGACAGACAGAGAGAGACAGACAAGCGGAAAGTGAAAAATCACCCCTCAGGGGGATGGTCACGCCGCAATCCCTTCTCCTCCATTCTCCTCTCGGGATCTTGGGCACGCACGCACACGCGCCTGGCGTGAGTTTAAGCCACCGGGTCCGGGACTCGAACCGTGGTCAACTACGTGGGAGTCCAGCCACATAGCCATTACGCTAACTGCTGGTTCCCAAGAGGTTTTTGCCTTAGGGCCCGTGTGCTCACTTGGGAGGGTGGGGAGTGAGAGTGAGAGAGGAGAGAGAAGAGAGAGACAGTCAGAGGAAAAGTGAAAAATTACTCCCCAGGGGGCATGGCCATGCCACAGTCCCTTCTTCTTTCTCCTTGTGATCTCAGGCACACACACACATACATACACATACACACATACATACACATACATACACACATACACATACATACACACACATAAACACACACACAGGCATGGTTTTCAAGCCACCATGTCCAGGACTTGAACCCTGGTTGGCTATACCACCTGCTGGTCCTGCAAAGCCAGACTCGCCCCCCACAATGGTATCCCCATCTCTGTGTGATGGGCTGGGCTGGGGCCTCACCCACCCTGTCCCCCACTGGGAGGGAGCGCAGTGTGGGCAGGGTGAGCGTGGCGGAAAACCTCCCTGTACCCCGAAGAGCGAGCCTCTGGGCAGTAGAAATGGTGAGTTTTCTGCCTCTTTGGCTCCTCTGCCCTCCACACTTCCGCGCAGGAAATGTGTTTAGAAAGGCGATGTCCCCAGCGTGCTGACGCCTCCTCCCGCTTGTCCCCTAGGCCGTGCTCATCGTGGTCACCGTCGCCTTTATCCAGGTGAGTGTCCCGGTCCGGGCAGCCCGGTGTGTGGGCGCCCGCCGGAGGTCCCCCCTGAAACATGTCCTGCTTCCTGCCAGGAGTACAGGTCGGAGAAGTCGCTGGAAGAGCTGACCAAGCTGGTCCCCCCGGAATGTAACTGGTAGGTTCCACTTCCCCAGACTTCCTGGCTCGTCAGGAGGGCCAGCGGGCCGGGAAGTCTGCGTGTCTGCAGAAGGGGTGCCCTTTATGGTAGTCATGGTGTGGAGCAGCACATCCCACTGTGAGCTGTGAGGCTGCTACCCCCGCCAGCAGGTTGCTGTGTGTTCGTGGGTGTGTCACTCCGCCTCTCTGGCCCTCGACTCTATTACCAGTGTGTACACCAGGGGACCTGGGCCACAAGTAGCCAGAGGGCTTTGGGAAGAGGGCAGTCGTTGAAGCCATGAAATGCACAAAGCTGTGTGAGAGAAGTGAGAGGTTTGGTGTTCTCTGGGGGCCCCGGAGGTCAGGGGCTCCCATAGCTCGGGCAGCACAGCTCCAGCTGGGAGGGGAGCAGGAGGGGAGGAAGGGCTCGGGCTCACTCGAGGCAGCCTGCAGCAGCCCGTTCCATGCCCAGAAGTTTCCGCCTGGCCACGTGCTGCCACACAGCTCTTACCAAGGTTTCTTTCTTTCTCTTTTCTTTTTTTAAGAATTACTGAATTTTATTTATTATTATTATCAAATCTGGTATAGGACACATGCGCTTATCAGAGAGGGGGAGGGAGAGGTGAGCCATGGGTCTGGGACTCTAACCACAGCTGGCCACACGGGAGTCCAGTGCCTCAACCACCCCACCCCCTCTGGCCCCACCAGGGACTGAAACATGTGGCCCACCTCTGTCTGGGGGAGGCTCATTTGCAGGAGAACCTTAGTGTCCACTGGGGCACACGTGACAGGAGAGGACGGCGTGGGAGCGCTAGGGAGGAGGCTTTGGTGGCTGGTGGAGCCCGATAGTCTTAGCCAGGCATGACCCGCTGTCGGGCCCCTGGCCTCGGGTAAAGGGTGGGTATCTGAACTAGATCAAGTTCTCGGCTGGGAAGGACACCTGGCCGGCACTGGAGGTGTGCCAAGGGCAGACGGCGCGGTTCTGTCGGGGAGCTCTCCTGGCTGCGATAAGGCCCTGCCAGCCCCACTGCCTGAGACCGGCTCGCACCCGAGCGGAGCGTTCCCTGCCCCCAGAGCGGAG